CAAGGGACAAGACACCCCTCACGTCACATTAATGCGTCGTGCCTTGTGACAGTTGAGTGCCTACAGTTAATTGCAATGATGGAAGCATCCATCATTACTGCTCCTCGAAAACTGAAAAGCCACATTTCCCGTCAGAAAAGATGAAACGTCCAAAAGCCCCCTGGAACAAATGGTACCAAAAAGCCACCTTTCCTGCAAATCACGCGGCCCGCCAAAGATACAAATGGTACGAAACCCCACCTCGAACCGCCAAGACTCAAAATACTTACCGAGCCATCAAGAGATCCCTCTGCACGCCCACATTAACCACTCAAATCGCCCCGATGATGTCGCCCAAGCCATTTAACTTGGCACCAACCTACGCTTGCTACCAAGCTCTCCTGTTCCGGATGGCCCAGCAATACAGCGACCCAAAGGTCCAAGCCCAATCTCATCCCCCTATCCACGTCAGCCCTACCAGCTGTCAGCCCCCAACGCAACGACACTCCCTAGGGAAAACGCCAAAATGTCCCGTCTTGGGACCCTAACCCCTAAAGGTGACCGCCCCAGATACCATAAGAGGAAACTGCCATTTGTCACACGCTGACATCGCCAGGCATAGGGGCGCATCGCTGCTATCATAGCAGCGCCTGCCACGCCCAGCAGCGTCTGCCACCATAGCAGATCCCGAGGAGGGTTGACTCCCTCCTCACCAACCCACACAAGGTTCACATCACCTTCCCCTAAAAAATAAGCCCCCTGAGCACACCAAGAAGGTATCTTATGTATCGTTATTCTGCCCATTTACATTGAGTCACACATACACACACCTAACTCCATTGTTGATTGCTTGCTTCATACTTGGAACAGTGCCTCTTAGCTTGGTCTCTACTTGTGCTAAGGGTATCATCCATACAGTGACTCCATCCCCAAATGGAACATAGTGGGCTTATAGATCCCAACGGTACACATACAACCAATGTCGAACTCTAAGTCTCTTACCTTGTAAATAGGTCTTAACATTCCATCACACTTCACAACCTTGACATCCATGCGGGCTGGCTTTTTGCTAGTCTTTTACTAGCCCTGGAGGAACGCTGCAATGCCAGCGTCACCACCCACGTTGCTCGATTGCAATTGGGAGACATAATGGAAAGCTCTGATACCATTTGATAAGAACCTTGGACACCTATTTTGGAAGAAAATAGTTGTTACGTACACCTATTTTGGAAGAAAATTGTAACATCCCAAGAGCTGGCAAGGGCAGGGAGTGATCGCCGGTGCGAAAGGGTACGGACAATGAGCGGCTCATGCCAAATCTTGCAGCTCTGGGGTTCATGAATGAATCGAATCAACACCCGAAAGAGAGGGATTCCAGAGACTGTGCTGGTATGGGACGGTACGGTGAGGAATGGCTTATAAGAATTAATTGGTACTACCTATACTAACAAGATGCATCTACTTTTCGGTAGCCCGTATCGAAAGAACTCCACAGTTAAGTGTGCTTGACTTGGAGCAATTCTGGGATGGGTGACCTCCTGAGAAGTTTTCCCGGGAAGTGTGCGAGTGAGGACAAAGCACACTGAAAAGTCTCGTATTAGTGTGTGGGGACAGTCATTGATTCTTGCAAGTGGTCGGGCGTTACAAGTGGTACTGAGAGTAAGTTGAAAGAAGCCAAAACCGATGTTCAATTCTATCGAGGCGAGTTGGAGAAGTCGGTATTGGGTTCTTTTAACAATGCCCTTAAGCAAATTAAGGTTCTCAATCCTGGCCTCGAGTTTAACACTGCCAGTCTGCATCACATAGCCTATGTCAGCAATGGTCAAATTGTCACTCCCTCTCCAGAATCTCCTGTAGGTGATTCAGCAACCCAGATTGAAGGTGACCGGGTTAAAGGAGAGAAGGAAGTTACTATCAAGGATGCTGTCAAGGTTGGTAACGTGCAGGATGGTCAGGTTGAGACACTAGTTGAATGAAGGGCTGGGATACCAGTTTTGCTTTTGTAATCTTCTTTTTCATTGGGGCCTTTGAGCCCCTTTTAAATTTGTAATGAATATTGCTGGGCTTCTACCCGGTCTTTTGTTTTTAATATTTCCTGACACGTTTTACATCTATCAACTCCGTGCCTTTGATAGCATTATCTTGATAATGAGGTTTTGCGTACCTATTCTTTAGGTTTGTTTCATAACTTAGATATATTTCTAAGTATTTCGAATTTCATCAAGATTTTTTCCATCCCAGATGGATTATATCACTATATCTATTAACTCGGATATGCATCTCGAGCACTATCGATTGACCTAGCCGAGTTCAAAATATATTGTACGGATTTCACATTTTTTTTGTCACCTTCCATGAGGCTTTTATTTTAACAACTTTTCGCTAAGTTACTATTGATGAAGGTAAGCATTGTTTCCTTCAATCATGATCCAGGTTTTTGCTACCCGATTTTATCCAAGGTAAAAGCAATATTGTCACATGTCCTTGTATGGTTTTTCAACCATAATGTGGAGCATTTCGATTTGATTAGAGTCAGCATGACAAATCACACTTATATCTCGGATTTATAATATGTTGATGCATCATAATCATATAAGGATAAATTTTGAAAAGAAAAAATCTTCATTTATTGATATCAAAAGTACTGATTACATGAATTTGCCTATATAGGCGGCTTTAAATAATCCATATAAAGCAACATAATTCACCTAGAAATTGAAAGAACTTTAAAAATAGTCAGATAATGGAACTCGAATTTAACTATACTACATCTTCAGTTTATTCGTGTTCTATGTTCTCTTGATAGGCTTTATATATCTTCAATTTAAGTGGAGAAAATTAGAAAAGAAGAGTTACGAAACTAAGAAAGAAAATGGGCTATATATATGTGTGATGCCTCATTAACCTAAGACTAGGTCAAATCAGCGCCCTCATAAAATTCCAATTTCATTAATTGATTTCCTTAATTTTATTCAATCAATCCAATTGATTGGTTTTCCCAATTTCAGCCAATTAATTTCATTAATTGATTTCCTTAATTTTATCCAATCAATCCAATTGATTGGTTTCCCCAATTTCAGCCAATTAATTTAATTAATTGGATTACTTAATTTTGGTCAATCAATCCAATTGATTGATTTTCCCAATTTCAGCCAATTAATTTAATTAATTGGTTTCCTTAATTTTGGTCAATTAATCTAATTGATTGGTTTCAATCAATCTAATTGATTTGTTTCCTTTATTTTCTCCAGATTCATTAAATCTAATTTAATGATTATATTTAAATTCAAATTTTAAATTCAAAATTTTAAATTAGAATTCAAATTAATTTTATTAATTTAACATTCAAATTAATTAGGTTACATGATGGATCAAGTCCAACTTGACCCATGATGCCACTTACCCTCTCTTGGCCCAATATGTGAGCTTTTCCAACTTAGGCCCATTATCCCTTATTGGGCCCAAACCACATATGTTAGAATTCAAGACAACTTAAGGTGTTTGTGTGCGACCCATCAGGCCCAACATAGCCACTGATATAAATGGGCTTGGGCCTATTAAGCTCAAATCATCTAATGACAACACAGAGCACAAATAATTTTTTGTTGTCCTAGAGCTAGTTGAGTTCATCGAATGATCAACCTGTTATACCTATTTGGTTACCGTGTGACTTGTCCTTTCGTCTCGGTTATCTGTCCCATTGACTTAGGTCAAGGAAAATGTATCAAACCCTGCGGTCTAGAGATAGCTTTTGCCGAAACAAGGAATCTTCATTTACTGACTTTAAAGAGCGGGCCATCTCATGACTCTTTTATTATGCATAGATTCCCGAGTCCCATAAATGTCATTCCAGTTTCACCGGTCTACGGATACCCTTATCTCTCATAGAGATTGACGAATTTCTTCTACTTGTCACACTAGCCCTGAGTCCTTAGGGCATGCCATAAGGTATACCTATGAGTCTCCATGTTTCAGGCAGACAAGGTATACATGCCCTAAGGTATACCTATGAGTCTCCATGTTTCAGGCGGACAAGGTATACAATCAAAGCAAACCTTCCATAGCACATGTCTATATGACAAAGTCAGATCTAAAGAAAGACACACATAAATAATAAGAGACATTACCTATTAATACTATCTGTGAGATTTCCTTGTAGTGTCTCTTTGTGGGTCAATTTAGTGTGAGCTATTCTCCAATAGGTCCAGCCACGAGTCAACTAAGACATCTCGATGTCTGTAGCTCACAAGGACTCTACCTTGCATATTCATGCAAGTAACTGAGTCGTGCTAATCTTACCCGATATCACCAATGCCCATTATCGGTATCTCTAGACTAGGAATATATTTCTGACAATGGACTTGTGGTATCACCTAATTGGTGTGGACTTGGGATAAAATTGAAATTTCAAAAAATTATTTGACTTTTCGAGAATCATGATTGCTAAAAAAAGCACTATTTTAACTTCTTTTTTTAAATTATGCTCTTTTTAAAAGTTCGTTTCCAAATGCATAAAATGACTTTTTAAAAAAAAAAAAAAAACAACTTCTTAAAAAAAATAAAATTCATCCTAAATCTAGCTATTTATTTTTAAGAAATAGTATATGTATTAGTTATAAACATGGATGTTTTTTAAAACTCATATAAAAAGTACACGAAAAGTTTATCAAAAAAAAAAAAAAAGTACACTAAAATGGTATTGTTTACGAATGACCAAGAATAAGACCAGTTTAAACTGAAGAAATATGAAAGCGACAGAAGTATAATTAATTTATTTTGGTAGAAAAGAAAGGGTACTATAGCATTAGTATCACTAGACATAATTTGTTTGTTATGGTCAGTGAGCATAAAAAAAGTAGTAAGAGTATTGAGTTGCATAATTATAATATAGTGCAATGGGCATAATGCAAAATGGGTTTAGGGAAAATGATAGTGGAGACTGGAGAGTTAATGGGCCCCTAACATAGTCGATGGGTAAATGGTAACCCTAAGAATAGGAATCGGAAGGAAAGCTTTATATGATATCACCGATCCTTTTAAACTTAGCTTCACCGCACCGCTCCGCTCAAACCCACTCTCTCGCTTCCTTTTACAGTCGCACGAAGCCAACGGTCTGACACCTTTTCTCTCTCTCTCTCACGCCTCTCACCTCTCTCTCTCTCTCTCTCTCGTTCGCAGGTAGCCTCTTTGGCCTTTTTTTTTTTTTTTTTTTTTTTTTAATGTTTCATTGTGTTAGACTCTCTGCCTCTCTCTCTCTCTCTCACTTTGCTATCTCTGCCTTTTAAAAAATGTTTCTTTGCACTTACCTAACATAAACTGATTGCTATAAGTTGTGTAATAATACCATGTGAACTTAACTCCATTTTTTATTTTTAAAAAAAGTGAAGATTAAGTCCCCAAACCTCTAGCACTATTGATAATCGTGTAATTGACTAAGATGGGTTTCATGATTGTCATGCACCTATGCACCTTTACCGTCCACGCAAATTCACCTATTGTAGACATATCACCTTCATGTATTGAATGGTAAAGTGAACATCACTTGATTTTCATATTGTTTTGAAACTACTTTACATAAGTCGCTTAGTGAATTTTACAGTTTTCAAGGTGTTGCTTGAGATTCTGTGATAAAAAAAACTATCAGTGTGACCCGGAATAAATTTTGTATAAAGAACTTGTAATCTACTTTGTCATGCCCAAGTAATTGATAATTAAACTTCCTTAGCCGAGTATATTTAGTATTGTTTTGTCTTAGCTTATTTTTGACAATCATTGGCAGTACCAGTATTTACATTGTTGGAAGCTAGACTGAATTAGACAAACTGTCATTGGTTATTATGCATTTCTTCGTTTTTTGGGGACTATTATTATATGTGGCCGGGTCCATTTCCTTGTACATTATAATTGAATCTGTCATTGAGTGGCTGAAATTTGTTTTACCTAAGAATTCAAATTGTGCATATAATCCACTTAGTTTCACCCAAGCTTCATCCTGGTCATGGATAGATCACCCAGGTTCTGAAAAATTAGCTTTTTATGATTACATCGGCGATAATCCGGCCGATGAGTTCTTTATTTGAAGAAAAAAAGAAGACTATGCCTTCTCCATAAGAAAATTAAGTAATAATAGCATGACACCGTTCTTTTTTCTCTGACAGATGGTCAGAACATCAGCTGGGGTCGAATCCTCTGAGAGTTCATTTTTTGATTTTTTAGTTAAAATCACTACACTTTCACATTGATTTTTTTTGGGGGTATCCAGATTATTATTATATATATTATTATATAAATATAAATTTAAAATAATTTATGGTTGGGAAAAAAATGTATTTTTTTTTTTCTATTTAGATGAAGTTGGGCTGCTACAATTCCCACACATACTATAGACACAATAAGTCAATTAGGTAGATAGGGACCAAAAGAATGTCTGCTGAAAAAGGATATCTTATGCAAGATGAGTATAATTTGGGATACCCTTAAGGGAGGCAAATGACCAGCAACCAGGGGTTGAGCGTTACCTCCAGGTTAGGGGTATTACTATGGTAACATATGAGATTGTTCCAAATTATGTATTTACCATGGCTGATTATAATGCAGATCATTGAACCCTTAGTGGGAAAGAGAAGTCTTAAGATTCCAATGCTTATTGAGAGTAATTTCACCCTAAGTGGGGTGCATTTTGCAGGCATTGAGGGAGAGAAGAAAAACTAAAGCTTGGCTGGTTACAATGGTTGACAAGTCACATGAATAAATGGAACTATATGAATTATGTCCCTTGCTTAAATATGTTGAGTCAAGGCTGTCCAACATGTAAGAAGTGTAATTTCCATCTTTTGTTCATTTCGTGACATGAGTTCAGCCAATGTCCTAATGGAACTTGATTGTCTCTTGTTTCATGTTCTGATAAGGTGGTAAAGTGAAGAACACTAGATATACATGTTAGCTTTCCCTCTTTTCAACCTGACATTTGGTCCTTCATTTTCTCTTTAATTGGGCTACCTAGTTGCATATCCCTTTCAGAGTAAACCTTAGGAAAAACTCCATCTTTTCCTGCGTTGATTCTGCTGTTTGACATAGAAGAGCTTGTATGGTCCATGATAAATTGAATGCTGGAATTAATGCGAGGTTTATGCATAAGTTCATGTCAAGTTAAAACCTTATATTTACAAAAATCCTGGCTTGCATGACTAAAGAATTACTACCTTGATTAGGAATGTGTTGTGTATACGAAACAACTCCTGATTTATTGATGGAGCACTTATGGCTTTATATCAATGGAATTTCTGTATAATCAATTTTTGTATTCTATAATAATGATTGATTCTTCTATCACAGTCACACATACTGTATTCAAGTGCAATTGCCCAAACATAGCAGGAGTAGGCATGTAAGTACAGACTTGTCATTTGTTCATCTCTCTATCTTAAACATACAATGAATCATAACCAATATATAATAAATGATTTGGTAATGTGTGTGTGTGTGTGTGCAGGTCGAGGATATGTGTGAAGAATCTCCCAAAATATGTGGCGGAGGATCGACTACGAGAATTCTTTTCTCAGAAGGGAGAAATCACTGACGTCAAGCTTATGCGTACGAAGTACTCTTTCTTTCCTCAAATCACAATATCCTTATATCACTCTTCCTCGACATTCATATAAATAAATTATGACTGTTTTGTGTTGATTTGCTTGTTACTTCAGAGACGGTAAGAGTCGCCAATTTGCTTTTATTGGATTTCGTACAAAGCATGAAGCTCAGGAAGCTATTGAATATTTCAATAGGTCTTACCTTGACACATCTAGAATAACTTGTGAGGTCTGTTAACTTATACCACTCTTTTTCTTTTCTTCTGTTCTATTACTCTATTTTCTATCATATTCAAAATTTCTATTACTGAAACTGAAAGCCACACAACTTGCTTTACTAAATTCTCATCGACCAAGCAGGTGGCTCGAAAACTTGGTGATGCAAATCTTCCTCAGCCATGGAGTCGATATTCAACTCACAAAGACAATAAAGTGACCACCTCAGATGTGAACAAACATGTTGAAGCTAAAGGACAAGGAGACAATTCTAAGGACATCGTTGATATTTGTGACCCACAGCTTCAAGATTTTCTTCAGGTCATGGAGCCTCGGACTAAGTCTAAACTGTGGGCAAATGATACATCAGTTGTATCCAATGTTGGCAATCACCAAGCAATATCAAATAAGGATAGCAAGGGTACATCGGCTGTGATCCATCCCATCTTACTTCAAAGTGACTCATTAGAAGATGGCTTTCCAAATACTTCTGAACCCAACAAGTCACGGGAGCTTGAACAAGATGAAGTCATTTCTGATATGGATTATTTCAAGAGTAGAGTGACAGAGAAGTGGTCTGATTCTGGAAGTAGTGATGATGAAGATGATAATGACAACAATGATTCAGTATGCATTGATGATCATGGAAAAGACAATCATAGTCATGTTAATGAAGATGAAGAAAATTGTGATAATAAATCTTCTGAAAGAACCCAAAGAAATGATGCTCAAGAATTAGACCTAGAGGGCCAAGAAGATACTTCTGGAGAGGATGTTGACCATGAAAAGGCTCAAGTGAATGCAACTGAGCAAGGGGGCCAAGTTTCAAATTCAGAATATGAGAAAGTAGCTTTTGAGTCCTGGCGACTGTTTGTCCGAAATCTTCCATATACGACCACGTATGTGTCTGTCTCTGTGTGTGTGTGTGTATGTATATATATATATATATATATATATATATATATTTTCTCTTTTGTGTGATATTATTATGCCAACTTTTCCAATTAAATTGTTTTTCAATGAAAGAATGTCTTTAACGAGTTGAATTATCTATCAGTGCTTTAATGGTTTCATTTGACCTTAATATTGTTTATTTTCCTAGTTGGTTTTAATTATTATATTGTTATTTTTTACAGTGAGGAGGAGCTGGAAGAGCATTTCAGTCAGTTTGGTAGTGTGTCACAGGTTCATCTAGTTGTTGATAAAGATACTAAACGATCCAAAGGAATAGCATATGTTCTTTTTTCACTTCCAGAATGTGCAGCTAGGTAACAATTTGGTGGCTAAAATTTGTTAACTTTATTTATGTCAACTTTTGTTGTGTTTCAAGTCTTGTTCTTTTACTTCATGGTTGAGCTGTTGAAGTTTTAGGGTATGATTTTACAGCATCATGTCATTTCATTCTATAAAGAATCTCCGAGTTGCAGATGTAGGCATAATCTTTGGACCATTTTACTTTCTGGACTTCCCCACAGTCACTTCCATCTGGGGTTGGTTCTTTGGTGGTTTTGGTTTTGGGTCTGTCGTCTCAATTCTTCTGATTAGATTTTGAAGCTTTGGTAGAGTTGAGGAAGGAAAGACTTTATGGTGATGCGTCATCTATGCTTCTTTTTATTGTATTTGACCTGAGTGAAATATTATGTCTTCAAGGATTCTTCACAGCCCTTAGTCCTTAGTGTAGGAGCTTGGACAGGTTTATTTTTACGACTGCCTTTTAGTGTTCACTTCATTGTCTATTTAAGTGTCTTAGCATTTATGCAACTGATTGGGCTTCAACTATTGTCTTTTCTATGTTTCTTTGTGTTTCTGCTAAGAGGACATCTAATCCAAGTATGTTGTTTGTGTTATTGTTTCCTTTACATAATACTTATTTTAACTAAAATATACCAAATTTTGTATTTTAGTGCTCGAAATCCCGAAATCTGGATTTTGCAATTAGGTTTTGACATGAAAATAATAGGTAATACTGGGTTAGTGCGAGTTGTTGAGAAGTTCTAAAAGATTCTAAGAACCTCTTGGAATTTTGATTGAGAGGTTTTTTGCAATGAATAAAAATTTGGCTGGAAATTGTTAGAAAATATTCTTTACAGAAATACTACCAACTGAATTGTATCTACAGCATCAATAGACTTCAGAAAGCTGCTACATTTTAGTGTTGTTTGCTTCATGGTTATGCAATCATGCCACTTCTAACACTAATACTGTTTCAGTTTTGCTGGTACTTGTCACCAGCTGACAAAGTGTTAGTAAAATTGTTTTGCTGATAATTTACATGACAGTATGATCATTGCTTATCAGGGCGCTAAAAGAGTTAGACAATTCAATCTTTCAAGGAAGATTGTTGCATGTTATGCCAGCCATTCAAAGACCTTCAAACTATGACGAGTATGTAAATATTGCATTATGAACAGTTTTGAAATTGTGATATCATTCATTTTACGTTATCATGACAGTTTATGGTTTGCCTGCTGTAGGAATAATGTTTCAAAGGACCAAAGCTCTAAAACTCTCAAACAACGGAGAGAGGAAGAGAGGAAATTGGCTGAAGCTAGTGGAGATACCAGAGCATGGAATAGTTTGTTCATGCGCCCTGATACTGTATGTTTGTTGAAACTTAACAAATTGCAATCGATGGTTCTATGATTTCAGCATTTATGGAGTAAAAAACAGTACATTAAAATTCTGAATTATCTTTATTTTTTTAACAAAAATCACAACTTGTTCTGGTTAGTTTTTAGCTTCTCACCATAGTTATTAATAGCTAGCGGCCAAGCTCAAAAATGCTATAGCGGTATAGCGGGTAGCGGTATAACCGCTACAGGGAAGTCCATAAAAAAATTAATTAAAATTAAAAAATTTATATTATACTCAAAGGCTAAACGTGGAGGCCATGGGCTGAATAAGTCAAATACGTGTAATGTTATATGGAGTTTTCATATATTATATTATACCCCAATTCTTAATACTCTGGCCATGTCCTTTTAAAATTATATATAATGAATAATATATTATGTAATATACTAATTATATCATATTCAGAGTGTTCATGTAAAATAAAATTATAATATATACACAAAATATTAAAAACATTAAAACATAGCAGTGCCCATTATAAATAAAATAATAAAAATATTAAAAACATAAGGAAATCAGAAAACATAAAATTATATATAATGAATAATATATTCTGTAATATACTGATTATATCATATTCAGATTGTTCATGTAAAATAAAATTTTAATATATTAATAAAATATTAAAAACATTAAAACATAGCAGTACCCATTATAAATAAAATAATAAAAATATTAAAAACATTAAAAAGATAGCAGTACCCGTTAAGTATCGTTGGTGAGGAAATCAGTGTTGCTAAATATCAATCCGAAGAGAGCTTGAAGGAAGAAAATAGAAAGGCTTGTCCGTAGAAAAGAGATTGAAGGCAGAAAATGTAGAAGAGAGAGAACAAAGGTAAAATATGAATGAAATAGAGAAGAAAGGCAGGTTAAATAATTAACCTAGCGGCCGAATGGATAAAGCCCAAGTAGGTTCAGATTTAAAAATCGATTTTACCCTTATAATTAAAGTTGTAGACCATAATACCCTCCATTCCTCCTTTTCCATTGCTTTCTCACTGTAGCGTGCAATTGCCCCGCTAACCACGCTATCCGCTACTGCAAATTGTTGACTGCTATTGCCGCTACATTAAACAGTAGCGTTGCGTGCGTTCTGTTGAGGCATATGGCCGCTACAATAGCGATATTGCGGCGCTATTTTCATCTATGCTTTTCACCATTCTTAATTTCTTATGCTGTCCTTTATGTGTTTTGCTGCTTTAGTTCATAAACAATTTTCACTTGTTCCTCATGGGACAAGTTATTTGGCGAGCTTTGGGTTTTCTTGTTTGTGCAGTTTTCCCAATTCACTGGTTGGAGAGGACTGCTCTTATTTTTATGATTGCCTCCAAATAAAGGAAACATAATCTGACTAATAAAGGAAACAAATAATTACATAATCTGACTATTAAAGGAAACAAATATTTACTGATTTCTTCCATATTTACAACATCTTGTTTTCCTGTGATGAAATTAACGTCACTGTGTTGCTGATTTTACTTCCTAAAAATGTTTTTGGGTGATGCTCGCTTTTGGTCTTAGGTTGCTTGTTTCCTTATACATATTTTTAATCATGTCTTGATGTTAATAGGTTGTGGAAAACATTGCCCGCAAATATGGTGTCAGTAAAAGTGATTTACTTGACCGAGAAGCTGATGATCTTGCTGTACGTATTGCTTTGGGAGAAACTCAAGTGATTTTAGAGACAAAAAAGGCATTTACAAATGCCGGAGTGAATGTGGAGTCTTTGGAGGAACTTGCCAATGGAAAAGTTGATGGCTTAAAAAGAAGTAACCATGTGCTTTTAGTGAAGAACTTGCCCTACGGTTCTACAGAAAATGAACTTGCAAAGAAGTTTGGTAAATTTGGTAATTTGGATAAAATAATTCTCCCTCCAACAAAGACATTGGCCCTGGTATGTTTTTCATCTCTCCTCATATTTTATGAAGGTTATGACACGCCTTTGCTTTTTCTTTTTTTCTTTTTCTTTGGATATTTGATAGCTTATTATCCTATGTATACCTTTTTTCCTTATTTCTAATGCAGTTTTCATTTATTTTTGTCTGCATTCAATTTTTAATAATGTTTCTTTCTTCAGGGTATGTGGTTATAAAACAGCCTTGTGTTCTAAAATATCCTAAAGATAAAACATAAACAATCTTGTGCATAAAGTTTACACACCTTTTTACTTTTTAAATACATCATTATTACTTTTACTGTTATATTGTTTTATTTATAGAAAAAAAGGTTTTTTATTCTAAGTTTTATGGAGTGCGAGTCTTGGAGTAGTGGTAAGATTGCTACTTTGTAATTGAAAGGTCACGGTTTCAAATCTAGGAAATAGTCTCTTTGCAAAAATACAAGGATAAGACTGCATACAATCTACCCTCACCACTACCCTGGCAAATTCGGTGCTCCTTTTGCACCGGGGTTTGCCCTTTTATTTTTCGTTTTATGAACCTTTGGTCCTACATGTTCTGCTTTGCAGCATGTGCTGTAGATGACGATATTTGTATAATGGGAACTTGAATATACTTAATGGCATTTTTTTGCTTACTTTTCTTGTTAAGTTGAATGGTGAACTTTGCTTTCAGCGGTGAGGTATTTGAAAAGTTATTGTTCTTAGCATTACTTGTTCATTGTGTTAAAAGGTTATGAGTTCGAATCCAGGAAACAGTCTCTTTGCAATTATGCAATGGTAAGGCTGCGTACAAGGATTTCCTCCACCCCACACTCGCTAGTCGGGTTTAACGGGGAGTGGTTTTTTATTACTTGTTCATTGTGTAATGATATATATGCAAAGCTTTGAATTATTTGGAGATGATATTTCAGGTTGTTTTCCTTGAACCAGCAGAAGCTCGAGCAGCTTTTAGAGGTTTAGCTTACAAGAAATTCAAGTAAGATTATATTTTTTTTCAGGTCTTGAGTCCCCTTCAGCAGTGTTAGATAATATTTTATTTTGCTTCTATCTTTTGACAATCAACCCTTTAGGCTACCCTCCATGAATGAATTTGTTGTTTCCTTCTCTCTTTAGTATGCATCTTGATCTTCGTAGAAAAAAAGAAGAAAGAAAGAAAGTTTATTGTGCTTGCAATATGTATTAGGCAGGTGATAGGATACCACCCTTAAACCACCTCTAAAGGTATATTCTAGAAGAAGCTGAGTCAGCAAGGCAGTTAGAAGTAAATATGAGTGGAAGGCAATTCTATTAGTGTCACACGTGAGAAGCAACACTAGAATGAAGGGAAAGAATTAATATAAATAGGGAATAGTAGAAGGATGGAAGTATCTTTGGGACTTGGAACTTTGGGCACCTCTTGGGTTATTAGGAGAGTCCATAGCCTCTATAATTGCTCTAGAATTATCTTACACTATTTCCCTTTTTCTTATAGCATTTCCAGTATTTCCCTTTTCTTGTTAAATTGTCTTTGAGTTGTTACCATTTTCATATTGTAATACAGATATAGATACATCTATATACAGATCTGTGTTCCTTTTCCATAATCCATTGTGTGTTAGATTTATTTTCTGGTTGGTCTCTATCAATTGGTATCAGAGCTCTCTAATCCAGGGGGCTTTGAACTACACACCATTCAGAAAAAAAAATGAGAAATCAATTTTATAAAATGAAGATTCCTATATTTTCTGGACAAGAAGAAGCTTGGGATGGTTGCTTCAAGTTGAGAGGTACTTCGAGGCAAAGGGAATTCCAGATACTGAAAAGTCATGGGAAGCTAGGAAGGCGTTCATCGGTCAAGCTCGAATCTGGTACCGATACTGGTATAATCCAAAAGTTAGCTGGTGGATATTTTTAAAAGCATTCTTCAACGAATTCCAACCAGAAATCTGTTTGGTAGATGATGAAGCCGAATCACCTGCAGCAGAAACAGACACGTCTAAGAAGGAGAAGGCTGAAGGTGATTGGAAGGACAATGAGGACATTCAAGAATCCCTTAGATATGCAGGAAAAGAATCCTTGAAATCAGAGACGAAGATGCAGGAAAAGTCTTTTATCGGAGAAGGTGGAAACCTATGGTGGTTCGACAGATAACTATGGGGCATTGAAGGAGACCGGAGAACTTCAACGATGCACAGGCAAATTTTTTTTTGCAGAAACAGACCATGGAAGTATAAGAGATTGAGGAAATTCATGACGCCATGGATGAGAGAGATGAGGGGAATGTTTCCATGAAGAAGGCGCAAGATCCATTAAAGCCACAAACAATTGAGGAGGTGGAACTCCCACCACCATTACCTAAGCTTCCGAACATGGCTGTGAGTTTGGAGGGTGCAGCGCTGCATAGCCATGGAAGAGAGAAGTGGCTGGGAATGTGTAAGAGGTTGAAAGAAGATCTGATTAGGGAAAATAAGGAGTTAGGACATATTCTATTCTCGGCCCAATTCAAAGAGAATGATTTTGCAAACAAGGAGTTGGGCCATGTTCCATTCTCAGCCCAAATTTTTAATTCAGGAATTAAAGACTTAGCCCAATTCAAAAAGAATGACTACTTTATGCCTATTTTATGTAGGGAGTGGGCCATGGATCCATTGATCCACTTTTTTACCCAAATGCAATCCCTATTTTTCTTAATTTGCAATGGGGACAGCCGTGGGGAACATTGCATGGATCAATTTCATCTAGTTTCTATAGCTACAGGGAGGGTCCATGACATAGCTCTTACAGATGATGGTGCATTATTTTATCGGGTCTCGCCATATCTTGATCTTAGAAGCCAACAATCATATGCAATCTGTGGCATAAATATGGTGAGCACATATGCTGGAAGGTACTGGACTGCATCAGCCACATCAATATGTGATGCTTATGCTAAGGATAAGCCATTAGTCGCAACTCTGTTGGTAGGCAACGAAGAGCTCTTAAAATTATTATTCTCCTTCTCTCATATTACCTTATTGGCTGTTTACTTTAGCAAAGTTGATTTTTGCCTAATTACTAGAATGGCAGAACCACCTATGCTTCATGCCCAAACCTGTCAACATGCTTTTCATCAAATGGTTGAATTTATAGCAAGTTCATCCTTTATAGAGGCTTTGGTTGGACCAAGGGGTGCCGATGGTCATATATATTCCAATTTCATGGATGTGGCAGCAATAGTGGTTGCAACAAAATTTCTGGATATTGGCAGTATTATGGCTGGTATGGCAAGGAAAGCCGAGAATATTACTACTATAGAGACTCTTGAAAGCTTATTCACAAAACCAAAGAAGGAATGGAAGAGGGGCAATGGGATCCCGGTGGAGGATATATTGCCTCATGCATTAGTTGGCCATTACATTTCAAGCAATGGGATCTCGGAAAATGATCATCACCTTCAGGACAAGGTGATTTTTTTTTTTTTTTTGGGGGGGGGGAGTATTGATAGGATACCACCCTTAAACCACCTCTAAAGGTGTATTCTAGAAGAAGCTGAGTTAGCAAGGCAGTTAGAAGCAAATATTAGTGGAAGGAAATTCTGTTAGTGTCACACGTGAGAAGCACTACTGGAATGAAGGGAAAGAATTAATATAAATAGGGAATAGTAGAAGGATGGAAGTATCTTTGGGACTTGGAACTTTGGGCACTTCTTGGGTGATTGGGAGAGTCTAGAGCCTCTATAATTGCTCTAGAATTATCTTACACTATTTCCCTTTTTCTTATAGCATTTCCAGTTCATTGTATTTCCCTTTTCTTGTTAAATTGTCTTTGAGTTGTTACCATTTTCATATTGTAATACAGATATAGATATATCTATATACAGATCTGTGTTCCTTTTCCATAATCCATTGTGTGTTAGATTTATTTTCTGGTTGGTATCTATCAGCAGGTATGAAGAGTACTAGCTGCAATGCTGCAACTTCCCCTTCTTTGTGTTATTTGTAAAAGGGGAAAGGATAAAATGACAAGAATAGTTTTGTCAAAACTAACATTCTCTGACACACACCAAGAGGGGAGTGCCGGATAGAGTATAGACAAAAAGAGATGGAACATTAACCCAGAATGAAGCGTATAACTTTGTGGCTTTTACTTGTATTACTGTAGTAATTGCACTGAAGCTTGGAATTTTTCGGTTAGGAGGGAGGGGAAAGTAACTCTTTTGGGATGCTACTTGCACCTACTACCATGGTTTAGATTTTTAACCCCCACAGAGGGATGAATAATCTTGGTTTAAGCTGTTATCCCCCTTCCCCTCCCCATTCTATATATAAATAAATCTGCTGCCCATACTAACAATAGGTGCTGCAAAGCCTTTTCTTCCTTGATTTAATGAAGGTTATTTATTTGTTTCATATTTTATTCAACGTAGGGATGCTCCATTATACTTGGAGTGGGCTCCTTCCAATGTTCTTAGCCAAAGCGCAACATCTAAAAATAATGAAATGAATAGTGCAATTGGTGAAAATGATGCCAAGCGGCTGATATTGGAGCAACACGTGGAAAGAATATCAGATGTGGACATTGATCCGAACAGGGTAGAGGTATGACCTATCAAATTATTTTCTTTCATCATTCATTTACTGTAGCTTTGTACAGACTTGGATCTTCCGTAAAAATTATTTTGAGAGAATTGATACAAGATTGCAAAAGAGAAAGAAGAATAAGGTCAAAGGATAAATATAAGCATAGAAATGTATCAGCGGAAGTTTTAGATGCAAGTGACAATAAAACAAGGAGAGAAATGAGATATTAATTTTACATTTTACTACCTTGGAAGTCTTTTACGTTGGCAAATTATCTAATACTCATAGGATCAAGACTCAAAATATTAAAACAATGGACAGACATTGGAGGTATGAGTATTTAACCCCTTATTAATTTTAAAAGTTGAAATTTTCTTTCTTTTTTATATTTATTGCTGTAGCGTGAGTCTTTAGCCCCCTAAAATTTTTACTCTTTTATTGAAGGCTCCTACTAATTTCTGTTTTGGCTCCTTCAATGCTTTCTTTTTCTCTATGTAATAAGTACAGTACCCCAAAATGTAATATCATTTTCTATATTAAATTATTGATTATTGTTAGAATAATATGTTAAAGTAGTACTGTGTATATAATAGAATAGTCCCACTTCTTGTATATGATAGATTAGTTTTATTACTTGGTAATATAAATATATTCCCTGTGTGCTCGTATTAGACACAATTATCCAATCTCAAGTTGGTACCAGGGCTTTTTGTTCAGGGAACTTTTGCTTTCGCTAAAATCCTAAGCCCACTGCTTAGGTGTTCTTTCTTTCCTTGCCGTACATCCTTTCGGAAAACCTTCATCTACCGTGTGTCCCTTCGGCTTACAACTGTCAGAACCTCTGTCTGCTATCGGAATCACTATTCACCATTGGCATCACCGTCAAAGTTACTGTTGCAGCCGGAAACACTGTTCATCGCCGGAAACACTGTTTTGACATCTTTTTTGGGTCATTCTAGGACAGAACTGCTCGGTTTTGTCTCCTTCCATATTTGCTCTTGGTTCTTCGTTGGTCTCTTATTTGGCACGTGTTTTCTTCTTGTTTGGCTATCAATTTGATTTTATTTGCTTTATTCTGCAAGTTTTTATTGCATTAATAATGGCAGCATCATCTCTTGTTCACTCGGAGGTCAATTCTCCTCCTCCTGCCAAAAGTTTCTCGGGTATCATCTCCACTAATGTTGGGCCCATTACGTCCTCCAAACTGAAGGGTTCTGTTAACTACAAGAATTGGCCACCTTTGTTCGTGTCTGCTTCTTTGGACAAGGGCATGGGCGACATCTCACAGTTCAATCTACTACTATTCCTAAGGAAGAAAAATCTGATTGGGAAAAGGATTGACAACCAATTTCTGAGTATTCTTTGGCAGTCTATTGATCTAATCGTTCTAGACATTTTCTATTCTTTTCAGACATGCTATGAAGTGTGGGAGGAAGCTAAACAGCTCTACACTAATGATATTTAGCAGCTCTATTCTATCATTTCTCAATTCATGGATTTGTGCAAATCATCTGACATTCAGATAGAGACATATGTTGGCAAAAGTCTATCTTTGATGTAGGCGTACTTGGACATGTTGCCTTACCCTACTGATGCTTCACCATATAGGAAATTGGTGGAGTGCCTCTTTATGGTTGCCACTCTTTTTGGTCTTCCCGAGGAGTATGATAGTGTCTGCGACACTCTCTTGACTAGTGGGGATCCTGATTTATCACTTACTTACTAGCGCCTTTTGAATCTCAACAAGAAACCAGTGCGTGCTCCTGATTCATCTTCTGTTGTTTTCCATTGCTTGTTTCCCGTACTGACTCTCGTGGGAACAATGGTCGCGATTGTGGTTGGGGCCAGGGCGGACGTGGTCAGAGACCTCATTTCAGTTATTGTCAGCACTCCAGACTCTTCTCAGAAAGGCTTCTCCTCAGTCTCAGCCTTCTGCTCCAGATACTGGTAATCCTGTTACTTGTGTTTCTCATTCTATATTATATCACTTGGTCCTTGGATATTTGATTCAGGTGCTACCAATCACCTCTATGGTAATAAGGAACTCTTTACATCTCTTACTTACGTTGATCATTTACCTTCCTTTACCTTTGCTGACGGCATTAAAGCCCCTGTTCGTGGGATTAGACAAGCTCGTCGGACCTCTTCTTTGATCTTGACATCTGTCTATTACATTCCTGACATTCCTTATAACTTAATTTCTATTAGTAAATTGGTCCACTCCCTTACTTGCATTATTACCTTCTCTAACCATTCTGTTTCTGTGTAGGATCCGGGTACGGGGAAGACGATTGGAATGGTCATGAGTTATGGGGTCTTTACTATTTGGTTGTTCCTCGTCCTTCAGTGGCATGCTCTCTTACAGAATCTCCACAACTTATCCACAGTCCCCTTAAGTTTTTTCAAAATTACAGAAGATGGTTCCTCTTTTAGCCGGTCTTTGGTCTTTAGATTTTCTATCGTGTCAGCAAGGGAAGTACACAAGCTCCTCCTTTGCCAATCGATTCAATAAACAAGTTGATGTATCTTTTTCTCTTATTCATTCAGATATTTGGGATCCAAGTCGTACTTTGTCCGTTTTAGGTATTTTGTTGCTTTTATTGATGATTATTCTCGTTGTACTTAGATTTATTTAATGAAAAATCGTTATGAGTTTTTCTTTATTAAAAGTTTTCTGCGCGGTTCATACTCAATTTGGTGTCTCTATTCGTATTTTGCATAATGATAATGCTAAGGAATAAGTTTCTTTTGACTCTTCTAATTCCTTGGCCACACAAGGTACTTTACACTAGACTATTTGTCCTCACACTCCATAACAAAATGGGGTGGCTGAACGTAGAAACAGACATCTCATTAAAACTGCCTGGACTTTTCTTATAAACATGCATGTTCCTCTTCACTTTTGGGCAGATCCAGTGCTTGCCTCTTGTTTTCTCGTCAACTGCATGCCTTCCTCTGTGCTTGACAATGACATTCCCCATATTTTGTTTTTTCCAGATGCTCTTCTCTATTCTTTATCCCCATATGTCTTTGGTTGTACCTGTTTTGTTCATGATTTCACCCTTGGTAACGACAAGTTAACATCCAAAGCTTTTAAGTGTATTTTTTTGTTATTCTCGTCTTCCAAAGGGTAATCGTTGTTATTCTCCTGATCTTAAGCGTTATATTGTTTCTGCTGATGTCACTTTTCTTGATCAACAACTCTTTCATTCTATCACATCTCAGTTGTCACAAGTTGATCAGGTTCTTCCTGTTCTTTTTCTTGACTTGTCTTTACCAGTTGCAAGTGACTCTATCCCAGAGGAGCAACCTCTTGCCTCCATCCCTGAGGACCGCCTTTTTCTCATTTATCAGCGTCATCAGATCGTGCCTCCTGCGGACTTGACCCTAGATGATTCAACATCTTCTCCTGTCGACTCTTCCCCTCTGGCACCTTCATCAGAGGCTCTTCCCATTGTCCAAAGAAAAGGTATACGTACTACTTGTAATCCTTATCCTCTTTATATCTTTTTGAGCTATGATCGTCTTTCTATTTCTCATTTCACCTTTGTTTCTAGTATTTCTTCTATTTCTTTTCCTAAGACCACAGGTGAAGCACTTTTCCATCTAGGGTGGCACCAAGCGATGCTTGATGAGATGACCGCTCTTCATTCCAATGGCACTTGGGATCTTGTTCCTGCTCCTTCGAGGATTTTTATTGTTGGTTGTCAATGGATCTATATTGTCAAGATTAGACCTGATGGCCATATTGACTGTCTCAAGGTGCGCTTAGTCGCCAAGGGCTTTACTTATAATTTTTACCTTACTATAGTGACACATTCTCTCCTGTCATTAAGATGGTGTCTGTCCGTATGTTTCTTGCCCTCACTGTTGTTCGTCACTGGCCACTCCTTCAACTAGACATTAAAATGCTTTTCTTTATGGTGATTTACAGAAAGAGGTTTACATGGAGCAAACGTCTGGTTTTGTTGCTCATAGGGAATATGGGATGGTGTGTAGACTTTGTAAGTCTTTATATGGCCTCAAGCAGTCTCCTCGGGCGTGGTTCAGCCGTTTTAGTTTTGTTGTTCAGGCTTTTGGCTTAATCTGTAGTGAGGTTGATCATTGTGTGTTTTACATGTGCACATCTCCTGATAAGTGCATCTATCTATTAGTCTATGTTGATGATATCATTCTCACTTGAAATGATCAAGTTGTTGGAAATAATCAGTGTGAGTGAGTAGTGGTGAAGTAAGTCCCACATAGGCTGAACTTATACCAATTGAGGACCATATAAGCGTAAATGACCCATAAACCTACAACCTTAAGGTTTTGTGTTAAGATGTGTCGATCCACTTATTATGGTTTGTCACTTGGCCCATTAATAGAGGTATCCTTTACAAAAAGTTTTGGGCTCCCCCATTACCATTCTCAACACAAGCTTGGATTGACCAATTAAAACAATATTTGTTCAGTCAGTTTCAAACAAAAGATCTTGGTAAGTTTCATTACTTCTTAGGGATTGAGGTGACACAGTCTAGACAGGGCATTTCCATCTGTCAAAGGAAATATGCCTTAGATATCTTAGAGGAGACTGGTATGTTAGGGGGTAAACCAATTGATACAACCATGGATCCTAATATCAAATTATTGCCCGAACAGGGGGAGGAGCCATTATCTGATCCTGGATGTTATTAGAGGTTAATTGGGAAACTCAATTATCTCACTATGACTAGGCTGAACATCTCTTTTGTTGTTAGTGTGGTTAGTCGGTTCCTTGACTCTCCTTGTGATTATCATTGGGATGCTATTGTGAGGATCCTCTGCTTTATCAAAAGAGCACCAGGGAAAAGGCTTATTATATTCAGATTAGGGACATACAAAAATTTGTGGTTATTTAGATGCCGATTAGGCAGGATCACACTCGGATAAGCGCTCTACTTTAGGTTATTGTATCGTTTTTGGAGGAAAACTGATTTTGTGGAGGAGTAAGAAACAAACTGTTGTTGCCCGATCCAGTGCAGATGTCGAGTATCGTG